ACGTCCAGTTCGGTTAGAGACCTCCGAAAATACAGTTTGACAAATCGAGTGTAATTTCACTCGTGAGGCGAGTCACAGGTTCACTCTTGAAGCGATAATAGTAACAAGGGCATCGCACTGACTCCTACAAGTTGGATGGGTCACTGCACCGCAATAAAAGGAGAATGACGCAATAGTCAATTTGGAAAATACCAAGAACTTACGTGGAACTTTCCCATGCGTGTCAACGATGCCGACATTTCCCAACCATGGAATCGCCCCAGTAAAATGCATACCTCACAATATCTCTTCGAAGTCGTTTTAACAGACACACGAGTCTTTTGAGGTGTATGAGGAGACATCGCGGATCGTGATCTGAACGCCTAGGGCACAGAATTGAGCAGCAGCACTAGCCATATCGAAAAGAACTTACCTCTGACTGCTGATTGGTATCAAACGCGACACCATAGAACACCCGCCGTGTCAGGCGTCGGATTACGCGCCCCCTCCTGTCCACACGGAGTGGAAACTAATAACTGACACAGCTAGTTTGTGTTCACGTCTCTCAAACTGTTACACTCATATCACTTTATTTTGTTCTTGCACTGTTGATGCGATTACTTTGACAAGACAGGCGAGGCGAGAGGAGAGAGGAAGAGAATAAGAGAAAGGATGAAACAAGAGTATTTGAGTTAACAACTCCGACAGGATGATCAGCCCGTCCTAGTGGTAGAAAAGGAAAGAGGTGCGAACATATGGGCCAGATGAGGAGTCATAAGAAACGATCAAACGGGAGAAAAAGGATGGGGATAAGAGATAAGGATAGGAGGAGGGAGCAAGAGAAAGGAGAGAAGACGGAAGACAACGGATACACATCACGTAAAAGAAGAAAGAGCCAAAGGCGGGGGAATTCGCTTGCTTGATGCTTTCTGAGAAATCTCAGGCATATCGAGCCATACAGCCAGCAATCCTAAGCATTCGGTGAAGTTGCTGAAACCGCTACGATGCCCACTTTAGAGGCCAATGAGAAAGTGGTCTCATGAGCTGTGGCAGAGGGAGTTGCAGAGCAGATACGACTTTGCATCTGGTCTGAGTTGGGTGCTACTCCCAGGGTAGCTCGACAGGGTGGCATCAGAACCTGCCGGGGATGGAGACTCGCACCCGAACAGAAAATATAGTCCATGCACTTTCTCGGAATCACAGTCGCTGCTGCCGTCGATGATGATGTTGATACCGGGACAGTAGCGTATCGTGTAAAGGGAGGCTCTGTCCTCTACAAAATAGTTGAAGAGGTAATATTACTAACAGACTTTATAGGCACTACCTTTCGCACGCGAGAATCACCCC